TTCAACTTGAACATATTTTTGAACCTAAGTGCATTACAGACTTGGGTCACCGAACATTAATTCACTTGGAGCAACTCAATGATCCAGATGCTGTTACAACCGTATCTAATATTGTAAATTGGTACTATTTCTATTTATTAGAAAATCCTTCACACCAAAGTAAAGAATTTTGGACCAATTTTATTAAGCATTTTGGAGCTTATGCAAGAAACAATTTACTTCCCTTTACAAGCTCTAACACTGCGAGTACACATAATATTAATCATCATGAATGCGTCAGTAAATTACTTTAGGGTCTTAGAAAATTATCAGAAAGTATCAATTGGTTTCTTCAAGAATATTATGTGGATTTATATACAAAATTGAGTAAATTATCATGGGGTCCATTCGCTCCAAGAGCATTTAGAGTTTTCTCAATAATAGCCATCAACTTTAATACCATTAGTGACTATCATTGGGATGATCATGATGAACCAAATAGTCTGTGTGTTTTAGTCGCACTGGGGGATTTCGAAGGAGGAGAATTATGTTTTTCTCAACTTCAAGTAGTTGTACATCTTCGGCCAGGACAAGTAGTGGTATTTGCATCCCGTCTATTGCTCCATAGTAATTTTACAGTTACAAAAGGCATCTGGCATAGTATTGTGTACTTTGTGTATGATACATTCTTTCATAATTTATGAGATTTTGATCCTACTTATCTTGAGGCTAGAATTGAGAAAGCTAATGGACCAATAGTTTCTGAGCAGAACCTTAATAATGCTTAAGATTTAAACCATTGTGACCAACTTTTCAAACCAAAAGCAAGCCAAATACAAATCCCTTCTACTGTTTCTGATTATAGACGAGGATATATAAGTATGAATTATTTTACGGTTAATATATAAAAATATAGTTATTATCATTATTAATAATTAAATATTTTTATAGATTTAGCACGTGCTCAACGAGGTTTAAGGGCAGAAGATCTGCTTCCAGATTTATAGCATATTATTTATATATTTTGCTTCGACTACTGTATACTTATGTGATTATATAAAACTTGTAATCGATCAAAAATTCAGAAAATTATTGTCGAAATATTATTTGGTTATATTGTACAAATGTTTATTATTGGGTAGATAAGCCTCTTAAAAACATGAAGCATAATTTATACGCTATAATACTTGTTAAAAAAATACTACATATTTGTTTTTGTCCCTCTACTCATCCTAATATTAATGCGAGCCATATAACAATAGTTTAGATTGCTCTTATATAAACCTTTTTTTATTCTCTTGAAAAATTTTAAATCCTTTTAGATTAGATTATTTTTATATCGAT